TATCTTATTGCTTATTAACTTATGAACAAATTAATAAAATCATTATTATTTTGGTAAATATGTAAATCAGTCATCAAATTAAGGGGTAGGATTAAATAAGCTTTTGATCGTTCCATCTTTTCAAACAAGAAAGTAGTGGTTTTGTTTTTATAAACCTGTTTGAAATAAATAAATCAAATCAAAATTAATGATCAATTATTCATGGAAGTTAGAAAATGTTGAAACAATGAATTGCTCTCATCATGGCATGTCTACAACTTCCTTTCTGTTGAAGCTTCTCTTAAAATAACTGCTGAAGTAGACAAATACAAGACTTACAAAAAGCAAAATCTAAATAAAAACAAATGTTTCTGATGTCCTCTAGGTAGAAAAAGAAGGCAAATAAAATTTTTTTATAAAAATTACAAAAAATGCACAAAAATTAGATAAAAAATATATTTTTTTACAACTAATACTTAATAAAATGTAGCTTTTTATGACCAACAAATTTGCTTACAATTTAGTGCACTACTCTACTAACTGTATTTATTCAAATTTAGATGTCTAATAAATCCAGTCAGAAGTAAGTTTCTTGTGTTTCACAATCTAAGGTGCTCCCGCTCAGATGCAGTGATCCGGTTATTAAATATTTCTTAAAGTTAATTTTTAAGCTCCAGATTGCCCTTTCATATATTTTGTCACATATATAAACTATTCCTTCTCTCCATCTGACAGGCCGACAGAAACTTTACTCGATTACATTTTTCTGTAATCCTTCAGCAGATTTGTAAACTTTGCTGCAACACAGTGAAGAACTGACATAACACAGTTTGTCAGGATTCAAAATAACTTGTGAAGAACCCTGCTGGGAAACAGGAAATGTCTTTTATGTGGGCTGCTTTCATTCAATAAATAATTCATATTACAAATTATCATCTGATAATTTAAGCTGCTTTTGTTCCTGTAAATACTTTCATGTCAACAAATACATTTTAAATTCCCATTTGTGCGACATTGGATGTGTTGGGATTACTTTTGTCTCATGGATAAAACATCCGTGTTTTTTTTTATGCTTCCATTGAAACAACACTGTCAGCATCAAAGAATCACTAATTATACCATGAACTATTCAGGACTTTACTTCTGCAGCCAGTTGTAGGTAGGTGTAAAATGGTTCTGCCTTGAGGTTTTTTATTGCATTTTCTGCTCATAAATACAAACATTCTGCTTGGAATTTGGAGACATGTCCGTAGTTCATAGAATAAAAGAACAACGTTCATTTTACTCAAACACAGACACACTCCACTCCAGCATTTAGTCCAGCCCAGCATTTCTATCCATCAGCGTTTCAATCACATTGGTTGTTCTTGGCTGTTGACTAATTACAGATTAAAATCTTTACTCATGTTTGAAGATGCCAATAATTTCATAGATTAAAACAACAATTAATATCCAGTTAGATGGCAATAAATTCCCATTCTTCAAACAATGAAGGTTAAAAACTCAAAACTTGTTGACCAAAAACATGTAGGTCTGGTATGACTAAAAAAGTGAACAATAAATAAACCAATAAATACTTACATTTACAATCCCTTAAAAAGACACATCATACTATTTAAAAATATTTAAAAATGGCTAAAAATACAAATAGTTTCCATTGACTATAAGACTAATGTTCTCAGTGATATAAGCTTTTCCTAACATTCCACATCAAAATTAAGTGAAGAAGTAAGAGCAATTCATGCTGATATCAATATCTGTATCGGCAAATACTAAAAGCTACAATATTCATATCATCACAGAAGAGAAAAAGTTGTGTCGGGACACCAATAATGATAAAATAATCCCTTAAACTTTAAACAATCTGAACAATTTTATGTTTCTGGGTCTCCACCATCAGTTTCAGCTCTACTCCAAAAATGAAACTTAAATTTAAGTTATAAACTGCATCAAAGAATGATCCTGTCTTCTTTCTAATTAATAAATAGTGACAATGATGAAACGTGCTTCTGCTTAAACTGAGATTGTGGCAGTGAACGGATGGGAGTCATGGGACGCACCAGACAAGTCACGAGTCTATTATAAGACGGGCAATTGAACTGAGGAGTTTCTTTTGGCAAGGCTTCAGTGCTAACATTGGTGCTACTGCTTTTAGCCACAGGTTTCAAATCTGAGCTGCTTTGAGAAATTCTCAGCCAACCAGGGATGCCAGAAGTGAACTCAGGTTCAACTCAGCCCCCCTGCTGCCACCACAATATTAAAACATAATGACATTACTACGTGGGTTTTTCACTTACTCAAAACACTTGGGACGCTCTCATGCTCTTTCAAGACGGAGAGCGCACACCGTTCTCTACAGCCCCCTGCAGACCTCATCAAGATGGTGTAGAGACCACCCATCCTGGCTGATTCTTTTAACATCGAAGTGTGGCCTGCAAGCTGGGTACTGCTACTACGTGAACAATTTGTCCAAACTGGTAAGAAGTAAAATAATTACCTGATTGATGTCTTGGGCATTTTGCTGTACTCATATTTTAGGTCTTTAGGATAAGAAATGTGATTTTTGTTCTTGTTTGATTTGCTAAATGTTCTGTGAAACCTGCCGGTAAAATATCATGGACTGTAAAAACTGTAAAGACTAGCACTTTTTCATGGCTTTAGTTTTAACTTCAAATTTCTATTGAACATGATGGAAAGTCCAATGTTGAATCAATACTTCACATATTTTCTGCTGCTTTTAAACTCCATATGGAAGTCTTCTGTCATTTTCTTACACTTGGCAAGAAAAGGAGTCAGTCTCTCTTTCCTGTGCATGGGAATTTCTGCAGCAACTTCTCACTTACAGGCTGACAACTTTTATGACAGATTTCCTGCCGTTTTTAGATCGAGGTTCTCATCACCTGTCGATCACCTCCAGACTGCACTGATTATCCCATGATACAACTGTAGACATATTCAGCACAGGAGACAGGAAGGGGAGAATGTATCCGTGGGGTAAATTTGGTAAAACACATAGCCATTAGCGGTATTTAATGATGTTTCTAAGGAAATTAAGTGATTAAAACTAGCGTTGTAGATGCTACATTTTGGGTGAGGTGACTGTAAACCCTCGACCCAAATGTTCCATTTTTATCCACCACCAGATGGTTTGTACCAGAAACTACTACAACCCAAGCAAGTCTACAGGAAAATGAAACTAGCAAGAGCTCATCTCATGTCCAATGCATAACATATCATACAGTTGCGTGTTTTGAAATGGAAGCCACACCAGTTCCTTTCCTCACTCTATTACTTGTCGTCTTTGACAAAATCAAAATGGTCACAGGACTCAGATTTAAACCCTGCAATATTTATGCATGTGGAGCCCTGCTTGGCTGAGCCCACCTGAGCCACTGAATCTTGGCTGCCACTCAAAAGGACTTGGATTTCTTTTATCTTGGCCTACATGCATTTGTAGTTTTTTTCTTTATTTCTTTCTCCAGGCAGTTGTGAAATGAAGTCCTGTCAATTGCTTGCCTTGTGTTTGAACTTCTACAAACAGAAAAAAAATATGTATTTATGCATATCCATGTGGCTGGAAACATGTCCAGATTTGGGTGTTTCATAAACAGAGCAACAAAGCTGTAGTATTTATATTTAGTTGGTAAATAAGACAAATAAAATGATTTTAAGGTGAGATTGTCCTTAATAGGGCAGGGTATAAATCATTTCAGAGAACAGATGGAAGAAACCCCCAAGAGATGATGCTGTACCCTTGTGAAAACAATATGGGACCTATATATTTTGTCAAGGTTTGGACCAAGTAACACTGCCAGGTGCAAAAGCTTATCATAAAAAAATAAAAGTTCATAATATCCAAATAATAGTGTGTAAAGAAACAGACCAAGTCAGGCTATTTAGGGACGTAAAGAACTAAAGATTGAGTTTGGTGCGAGCGGCTGCCTTTTTTATGCTACTCAATCTAAAACAACTTAAATTTAGACGTCTAATAAACATTTAAAAAAACGATTCTACATGTTGAAAACATAATCTGATGGAAATGTGTTAGTAATTGAGATGTTATTATTTATGGGTAGTTCCTTCTGGTTAAAATAAGCCTATGTTTGTATTTCAAGCAAACATCAAAAGACAGCAGAAAAATTTTCACATTTAAATAAAATAATCCATGTCTGCGAATAATTTAGACATTAATCAGACTTTAATCAGTCCAGAAAGAAACACATTTATTTTCTCTGGCCTTTAACACCAATTAAAGAGAAACAGTAAAGGAGAGAAGAAAATGGCTGCAGCTAAAATGAAGTATTGTTTATTTTTTCTTCATATTATTACCGTTTGGTATCTTTGTCAATTGTATAATTGTCTTATTATTTTTTTACTTAACTTAATTTTATTTTCCATTTTATCATTTATCTACTTGGGATATTGTGAGGCAATTTAGTCAGCTGAGGCTGTTAAAAATGCGCTACACAAATAAACTTTGACTTGAAATTGGTCTCACTTGGTCCCCTTTCGATTTTCAGAATCCAAATTTTGATATTCAGAAATATATAGCTGTCCATCCTGTTCTGGACAGGCATCTATCTTAGACCTTTGTGGCGCAATTCTTGTCCTGCAGAAAACTGTGGATAGCCAAACCACAAATAAAACTCTGTGTTGTGAATTAAACATGCATCAAGAATTGAAGGTCAGCTAAAGTTATGGCATATGTAATCTGCAAAGAATGGACTTTCACATTTCAGCAGCAGGGAAACTATCCAGCCTACATCAGACCATCTTCCTCCATAACATTCAGAACCTGTCTGGTCTGATATGACAGCACCAAATGCTAATATAAACAATTATGCTACTTATTTAAAATTATGATAAAACAAAGAAAAAGAAAAAATCACAAACCACTGACTGACTTGTGATTAATAATCAAAATGCATAACAATATGCAGATGTATTGCGAAAATAGAATATAAAAAACTCCAAGAATGAACAAGAAAGCTGAATAAAAAGAACAGATGGGAACAACATACCTGTACAGAATGGAAGTTAACATTTCAGCAGCACAGAAAATATTCAGCCGCCATCAGTCCACCTGCCATAGCGAAGAAACGACATTAGCTAGCTAACTCATACGCGGCAAAACTGCGGTCCAACACTCGACAAATACATTCATTCTTCTGCCAAAATATGTAGAAAAACTGAAATTAACATTATACAAACACACTAGCAAAAATTTTGTCATCTACAGCAACTTTTTTAAATAAGACACCGACAGAAACGAGGTGAGAAACTCACCTTCTGCCATGGCAGCCAGGAACAGGGTGGTGAAGGAGGAAGTGACGTCACTGGTTATGACCGCCACAATAAAACAAGTCTAAACTTTCCCAAAATTATTACACAAATTTTGTCTAAAAGTGATTCCAAGATTTTAAAAAATGAAAGACAATAAAATACATGAATAAATTTTAAATTTTTGGTGGAATGCATGAGGTTTTCTGTCTTCTGTACTACATGTGCAATATTTTCCATTGTATATTCAGGGATACTGGATGTGTTTGACAAAAGATGTTGAATGTTGAGCGATCAGGGAGAAGGAAAATGTAGTTGTGGAAGGAGTTAAATTGCTGACAGTTTATGTATTAGAGAATGACGATTGGGACAGGATCAACAGCCACCAGTATCTACAAGCCAAACAGGAAGTTTTAACCAATTACAGAAATTCATTTTCATTTTGCTGGTTAGGTTGAAAAAAGGCTCAAACAAACAGATAAAATCAATTTGTTGATGCAGCAGCACTTAATAAGTTGTGAAAATTGACTGACTGGGGAAATAAGTTGTAGTCACTTTATTCTTAAAATGCTTTTTGTCTAATAAATTTGCCCCTTCCAGTGTTTTACATGTGTACGCAAAATTCCATAGGGGGTTGTGTATGCAGGAAAGCTGCATGGTAAACAGCAGAAGGGCCATGTTGGGGAATCAACATTTTAAGAGAAGGAGATGGGAAAACCATCTGTATTCGCAGATGACAATGACTGCAGGCTGCCTCCCGGAGCACCAAATCAATGAAATAATCGGGCATTTGCAACAGCTGGCTTTATCTGGTTTTGTGTTTCGGACTTTAACATTTTCAAGCTAAGATATTTCTATTAGAAAACCACAAGGTGTCTGAGGTCATGGCCAGCAATCTTCTTTGTCGAAGTAAACTTCACCTCACCTGAAAACATTTGATTGGCAACAGAGCAGACTCTATTTTTTCCTTAAAATGTTCTTTTATCATGATGTCATTCACTCTGGAATAATATCAGACCACAGAATTGAATCTTTCACCAAACAATGGAGATCAAGGGTTGGTTTTTTTATTCATTCATTGTTTCATACCACACCTAACTGTAAATCTTGTTGCTAAAACAAAATTACTTTTTTCCAGGAATGTTGCATTCCTTCGATCAAAGTTTACTAATTGTTCTTTTCTGTAAACAACAACAAATGAATAAAAATAGTTTTATGCAGGATAAGAAATTAGAGATTTTGTCTCTTGATAACTAGTCCTGTACTTGCAGTTCTGCTGACAAAGGTGTTTCTATTTGGAGAACCACCGGCTGATTAATTGGTCAGCTATGCAGCAACTGGGGTCCTGAGACCCGACTGGAAAATGGCTACAAGAAAACTTTATTTGGCTTTAATGACAAAATGCTTTCATTGGCCTATGTGTCCAACCAGATTAACACTGAGGCTTAACAGAGAGGTCCAGCCATGTCAAGCAAACCACCCACACATATCATTAGCATGACATTAGCAGAGACCTTGACCATAAAGGCAAAGAATGGAGCCAACAAAGTTATGCAAAACAAATGTACAGGTGCCAAATACAACAAAGCAAAATATGTGTTCTGATTTTTGCTTTTCTGTGGTCTACATTTATTAAGTTGAAGTTGATAGTAGCACAAAGGCTTGCATTTTTACTACATATCTATAGTCTTATATGGGTTTCACAATGTCCAACTCTCATTTCCCATGAAATGTGACCATATCGACGCCTAAATAGTTCAAGACTTGCTCCATTTGTGTTTATATCACATCGCTGTGCTCAGATTCTGAGAGCAGCTGCATCTGGCCTCTCAGCAAATTGTGCCTGAAATTGGCAATGTGGTCCGAAACAGGTCTGAAAGTAAATGGAAAAAAGGTACAACGCAGATCTCCCACTCCTCTATACCCACCGCAGGTGAATTTCTCCCAGATCTACAAGACTGCCTTGTTTTTCTGTCACAACTGGTTCCCAGAAAAGGTCAGTAAGTCTTTAAATGCAGAGCCAAGAGGCCTGGAGGAATCCACACACAAACATGGCGTCTGCATCCTTTTCTTTAGTCCGTCTCTTTCTGCTGTAAATTGGCTTGATTTATATATGGGATGTCTGTTCTTCAGGAAGAGTTTGAATTTCACCGATCTAGGAAAAAAATGTCTAACTGAGTGGCATTGTGGGCTGGCTTTCATTATGAACTGAAATCCATTTAGTTTTTTTTTTTTTTCCGGTTGACCATTCTCTGGGGTTTTGAGTCCAAGAATGAGCAGGAGATACGTCTTCCTTAGCTGGACACAAGCTTTGGTTTTTACAGAGGCAGTAACTGGAAACACGGCCATGCATCAACGCCAAAAGCTTGGAGAAATGTACCTTTTGTGGTTAGTTTTTGGAGGGGAGCCAGCTCTGTGGGCCATGCTGCTACTTTATCCTTCCAGTTTCAAACCTTGAGTATGCTAAAGCTGCGGATGAATTCAGCTCTTATCACTTCGTACTTCATCTCTTGCATTGTGAATACCCATCCAGTGCAGATCCCTCGCTTCTAAAGTTGAATTACTACCGTGACCTTTGCATCAGAACCCGCTGTTGTGCCAAAAATCTTATTTTTAAAGAACAAAAGAGCTTAAGGGCATAAATCGCTAAAAAGAAATGGCTAAAATTTGGACACAACTCAACAAAACCTATTTGCTTTTACATAAAACCTTAATTCTCATCCTCGTCTGCCCCGAGGTAATGAATAAGTTATCTGAGCAGAACCGCTTGGATTACTGAACTGACCCAATGGGAATAAAATCAGAGGCTGTTTGGCCGTATCTACAGCCTCAGTTTCTTCTAATAAGTTTTTATTTCTTGTCAGAAAGACATTAGAGCAACTACACAGAGCTGCAAAGACAAAGACGAAATGGGAAAGTAAAAATGGGGTAAGAATAAGGACAAAACAGTAAGTTCTAAACTATGTCAGGCAATTTTATTGATTAAAGAAACAAATAAACATAAAAACTGGGAGGTTTTCTCTCTTGCCCTGTGACAGATTAGCCACCTAGAAAGTTAACTTTCCTACAATAGATCAATTTCATGTTTTTAATCACAGTTTTGTTCCTCTTTAAATTCTAAATTGGGTTTTTAGGAAAAGATTGACCATAAAAAGTCTTAAAGCACATGTTTAAGCCACAACCCAAGAAAAAAAGAAAACATTTTCAGAGAAAAAGTTTCTTCCTCTAAAAACTGGGGGCAAACACTGAGGTTGGTTTGCTGACGTTACAAATTCGCTGCAATAATTTTCTATATATTTTATATAATCTGGTGAGCAAACTGCATAGTAAGGTTTTTTACATCTCCTGACTCATGTGATCAACAATTGGATGTTGTTTGATCTCCACTACTGCTGGAGATGACAAAGACGACGACAGGAAATGGTAAGAGGATGACGGCGGCTCTTCATTTTTACTGACATATTGCATAAACAAACTGATTTTCACTGTTTGTTATTTAATGGAAACAATTGAATTGCAAAATTGTTATTTATTTTACATTAGCAGAATATCAAGAAAGTTTTGCGTAAATTTGTTATGAAAGTGCAGCTACTGAGAACTGAGAAAACATGATTCGTACTCGGAAAACCCAGCACTGAAACAAGGTAATTGTGCTTCAGTGCTTCATTTGAGTAAATTTCTGTATTTTGTATTATACCAAATGTGGAAAATGTCTCAGTTTTTCCATTTTTTGAGAGAGCTGAGTATTGAAAATCCAGTGGGAGGTTGTGATATGACAGATCTGTCACAGCCAGCCAACTCACTGTGGTTCTTCAACTAAGAAATGCCTGAGCTGCAGGCATGCCCTTGGGATGTGCTCTTAAAAATAGCGGCCGAATATGCAGCTGCATAATTGGAATATTAGATAAACTCAAAGAAATGTGAGTTATGACAACCACCTTGAAGGAGAGGCAGTAAAAATAAAAAATAAAAAACCTTGCACTGGTGGAGAGAGGCAGAAAGGGAGAGACGGAGGGAGGACAAGAGAGAGGTGGAAGGGGTGTAGCGATATATCTTTTAGCCTCCCCAGCCCTTATTTTCCACAATGATTGGAGGCCCTCTGTAGATGATGAGGGAGGCAGCTGTGAGAGTGTAGAGGCTCTGCAGGTTCACAGCAAAGTCAACACCGTTCAATCCCTCTAAACCCTCACACTGCTCACCGCAGAGCAGCATGCCAAAATAAAGCCAAGTCTGCCTGTGCAGAAATGTGGCTTGTGCTTGTGTTTCCCACTGTCTCTCCATGTTCACGTGTGTTCAAAAGCCTCAACGCTCACGTCTAATCCAGAACCATGTGGGGTGGAGTGTGTCTACAAATGTTCTCAGTTTCTGAAGCGAAGCCCAGGGTTTGATATGCGAGAGCACCTGTGGCATTCACTTCCCCGCAGGATGAATCCTAATCTTCTAAAATCTCCAGCGCTGCAGGCGGGTTGTTACCGTGTTGATTCAGATTTTCCCTTTCAGTGGAAGGGTCAGCACATAATTGACATTAATGAGGATTAATCTGAAGTATTGCTCCATTTAGTCCAAACCTCACCCAGCCCTGATTTCACAAAGAGTCACTAAAGCCCCAAACTGTTCCGCACAAAAATGTCTGACACTGAGTCTCCAGATTGAGTAAAAGAAAACATAAGGAAGATTGTAAAAATGAATCTATATGGTTTCACAGTATTGAAGGGGGAAGTTAGAAGCATATTTAGAGGAAGTCTGAAGTAGATTTCAGCAGACGACTGCGGATTGCAAACCCATGTGTTTAGAAACCTAACTACTCTGAGCCTTTATGAACAGTTTAGAAGTTGTTTGCATGTATTTTAAATCAAGTACAGCTAACTAGAAACATAAAATCACTTTGGACAATAAAAATGTTTTGACTAAATTAGCAGAAAATGGGAAACTGGAGTTTTAAGTGACATGTAACTCATCGGAAGATGAATGAAAGATAAGCAGTGAGTAGAACATATTGTTCTAATGAAATTGATATATTCTAAAATATAGAGAGATACTCTTACACAAAGA